AATCTCACTGTTGCTTTCTCATATGTTTCTTCTTAGTAGCTCTCTCTCTCTCTCTCTCTCTCTCTCTCTCTGTCTCTGTCTCTCTCTTTCTCTCTCCCTCTCATCTCTGTCATTTACTGAGTGGCACTCTCTTTCTCTCTCCCTATCAACTCTGTCACACACTGAGTGGCATTGTCTTTCTCTCTCCCTCTCATCTCTGTCATACACTGAGTGGCACTCTCTTTCTCTCTCCCTCTCATCTCTGTTACACACTGAGTGGCACTCTCTTTCTCTCTCCCTCTCATCTCTGTCACACACTGAGTGACACTCTCTTTCTCTCTCCCTCTCATCTCTGTCACACACTGAGTGGCATTGTCTTTCTCTCTCCCTCTCATCTATGTCACACACTGAGTGACACTCTCTTTCTCTCTCCCTCTCATCTCTGTCACACACTGAGTGACACTCTCTTTCTCTCTCCCTCTCATCTCTGTCACACACTGAGTGACACTCTCTTTCTCTCTCCCTCTCATCTCTGTCACACACTGAGTGGCTATCTCTTTCTCTCTCCCTCTCATCTCTGTCACACACTGAGTGGCTATCTCTTTCTCTCTCCCTCTCATCTCTGTCACACACTGAGTGGCACTCTCTTTCTCTCTCCCTCTCATCTCTGTCACACACTGAGTGGCACTTTCTTAACTATTAGGCTGTCTGTCCGGATCATCTCTCTCTCTCTCTCTCTCTCTCTCTCTCTCTCTCTCTCTCTCTCTCTCTCTCTCTCTCTGTCTCTCTCTCTCTCTCTCTCTCTCTCTTCATCTTCCTCGCGGTGCCTCTCACTATCATATTTTTTAAAATCTCGATATATAATTTATGTGTATTTTTCTCTGTGATTCTTTGTACAGCGCGTGCGGCCCCCCCCCCCCCCACCCTCTCTAATATCTGTGCGTGTACGCACATGCGAGACAAAGAATGAAAGGAAAAAAATATGCCAACTATTATTTTTTATGTCAAAGGCGAGTGAGATCAATTTGCCCACTCAAACCCTATATCCGATAAACCAATTGTGTCAAAGACACAAATCCTTTGTTCTTTACCATTGTAATATAGGAATCGCGACAGCGTCCGTCTGAACGTTAGCCTGTCTGTCTGACAACCTTTGGTTCAAACCTGCTTCAGGTAGGATTTTGTTATGAATGGTACCTAGGCACCTATAATAGGTAACAGGAAATTTCATAAGGTAATGCGACCAGTGTGATGTTGAACGCATCTCTCAAAGAGTGCAGACTGGTCTGTAGACACATAGAGCCAATACCGTGACCTTGTTGCAACAATGACATGAAAGAGGCATTTTACTTAGTAACATCTCGTTAACAGGATCATGCTTAAGAAGAACACTCGGTTAACGTGAACACAATTGTGGACACAGTAGGGATGTTGTTGTTTGCTTCTGCGCATTCACCGCCTGTAAACTCTGGAGGAAAGTTCTTGTTGTTCGTCTCTAGAATCTGAGTTTTGCTTGTGCATCCGTTTACAAGCTGGCCTATTTCAGTTATGACGTAAACAGGGGGTGACTGTAGTATAGCTGATTGCAAATAATGCTGAAACCAAGGCGAAAACGATATCTCAGTCACTGCTATTAAATCCTTCTCTGGTGATCAAACCAGCCCTCCTAGTTTGAAAATCGTTTCATCCATAGTTTAGGCGTTCCTAGACCTGGAGGGATCAATATTCAACACAGCTTAATTTGATTTAATTTATTTACTTGCTCATTAATCAACTTCATATTTCTTCCCCTCTTTTTACATACGTCTTCTTACTTATTTGGTTTCGTATTATAGCCTTCATATTTGTATTTTCAACGTCATTACATACTTCCTGGTTTCCCGTTGGTTTTTTATTAGTTCTGTTGTATTATCGGCTGAGTTTTCTAGTCACAGTTTGTGCTGTATTCAGTTACTCCGTTGATAAAGACTTTGGTAGAAGAGTTCGGTTGTGTTTGTGTGCGTTCATATTTGGCATTTTTTTCAGTTAGCTGCGTTCTCTAACGGGACGCTGCAGAACCAACCACAGCATGTATGGGCTGTTTGTGATTTTTCTCGGCAATTTTACGCTCATTAGCTTGTCGTTCCATTCAAACGGTCGCTCTCGATACCATTGCCGAAAACATTACAAGGCGGTCTGCTGCCAAATCGTCCATATCTGATACTGAACCCGTTACCTCGGCATTACAAACCTGTATTTGAGTATTTGTTACTATTGTCTTGACATCGACCTGGCTGCCACGAGATACGAAGATAACTGATATTGTGTATTTGTGTAGTATTTTCTAATCTGTGTATGTGCTGAAGAAGGCTCCATAGCCGCAACGTTCATGTTTTGTTTGTGTTTGTTATATTGTGAAGCTCGCTGATATACTTTTCGTTCGGTTTTATATCTTTCCCTGTATTTGAGTAGAGATCTACTATTATTAGTCTGCTGTTAGACCCAATATTTTTTTTTTTTTCACGATCTCGGCATTTGTTCGGTTTCTTAAAATTCATGTTAAGTTTTTTCTTTGCTGTATCCAATGCTTGATAGGCCATTAACGAGAGATTTACTGGTTTTACAGTTAAACTATGTACCGGGACTTTTTCAGGCATTTTATTTTAAGTGTTATCATAAACAGCATTTTGTGATTACCGCCACCTTTGGGCACTTTAATTTTATACGACCACATCTCGTCGGCTCCGGGATTTGGTAGGGAAATCGCCAGACCTTTCCATAGTACAGGGGCGCAGGTTAGGGCTCAGTAGTAGTTGCTATTCTTTTAACACTAGCCCTAACCATCGCCCCCCCCTCCCCCCCCCCTCCATAATATGGTACTGTCCACGGAAACACTTAGGGATCCATAGGAATTCCTTATGAAATCTCGAAGCCGACGAGATGTGGTCATATAAATCAAAGTAGCCACCTTTTTAAATACTCTGTGGTTAGTACCGGTACCTTTTACTTGGGGGGGGGGGGGGGGGAGTTCGCTGGTTGTATTAGTTAAAAATGAACACATGTTGTGTTTGTTGGTATTGAAGATAACCGCCTGTTTTCTCTATATGTGGACTATGTAGTTTCATTTCCTCCTAAACATACAACTTCCCGTTGCCCACATATCTGCGGATTTCATTCCCCCGCTGTTCTAATCACCTGCTTTTGGCACTTGCCTAAACACGATACATCCTAAACGGCGCAGGTGCTGTGGTTAGTACGTAGGTAAAACAGCGGGTTTACCTGCTTCAGCCCAACTACGACACTCCTGTTGGGGAAACCCCAATAATACTGCAGCCAATGATAGTCGTTAAACGCCCGTGCTCAATTGAAAACCAATTGCGTGGTTGCTGTATCTGAGATAGCAGTTATTTGATTTACGTGATGCGGCAATCTTGAGAAAAACAGTTATTTTACAGGCAATGTAACTGTTAGTTGGTTGGTTGGTTGGTTGGTTAATTGGCTGGTTGGTTGGGTGGCTGCAATGTGCAATAAGATTAGACAAAGAATTCTCGCATGCTATAAAGCGCTAATTTGAACATAGGCCTATGCATTTGGAACAGCCAAACGAGAAGATGCCATAACAAACCACGAGTGATAGGAACTGACAACACAAAGGAAAACCTGATTTAATGACAGCCCGTCATGTAACCACACATTTAGAGGACAGGGCAGAAAGCAGCAATGCTTTCCGACCCTAATTTGAACATGGTCACAGTTAAAATTGAAGTTGGTTGAATTTTAGTCCTGGATAATTATTAAAATGTCAAACAATTTCTTCAAGCCCCAGCCATGTGGATTTACAGAAGAATCCTTATCCTTTTCTTCTTCTTCTTCGATTCTTCTGTCAGAAAACTTATATCAGGAGGCCGGTAGCCTTTATGAAAGCTATCGTGCAGTCCATATTTTCTCGTGTACCATACAGCTTTGTCCACATTATGGTTGGAACAGGCCAGATTGCGTCTCTGTTGTCAGCATACAGTTGACAGTGTTGGAGCACATGCTCAGCATTTTCGGGTGCCACGCTGCAGGGACACGTCTCCGTATTCCCTACACCGAAAAATTTCAACATATGTTGACGAAATCTTTTGTGCCCTTATCCTTTTGAAAACAGCAACAATAAAACTCTATGTAGATGTTATGAAAGAGGCAAGGGACCGAAGACAGCATATCACAGACACAGACAGTCATAAAATATTTTGCCGTGTTATGAGAAGGAAGCTGGAACATGTTTTGACCACCGGAAAGATCTGTGGAAGGCGGGGCGATTCTTGATTGTCAGGTGTCATACAATGGAAAAAGATGTCACTACATAAACTGAATGATGTTGTTACTGATAGATCACAAGTTGTCGACAGGCGTGATCGCCCACGCCAGTTGGCAGGCCACTTGATGATGATGATGGCTAGTTAGCTGGTTGGTACGTTCGTTCGTTGACTTGTTGGTTGATTCGCTGGCTAGGTGGTCGGCCTGTGAATTTTGTGATGAGTTGTATTTGCGTCATAGTCTCTTAGAACATTATATTTCTAATTTTCTTGTTTCCCTTGCTGTCTAACTAAAAGCGGGGGTTTTCTTTCCCCGCTCTATAAAACGAAATATCTGAAGCCTTGATGGTGTTCTTGCCTTGTTTACTAATTGTCCAGGATTCACAGCAAGTCTCTACTATATTCTTCTTCTTCGTTGGCATTCCGAGTCCTCAAGGATCATTGCAGGTGACACCAAGTGTTTGTAGCTCTGCCTGGATGCGATCTTTACCTCGGCTTCTTGGTCTACCTCGTGGTCTACGACCATTCAACTCCCTTGTTTATAAATTTATTTTTACCCGCTCTGTCATCTGGAATTCTCTCAATATGCTCCAGCGATTTAAATCTATTAGTCCTCATTACGCCAGTCATCAACGGTGATTTAAACAGATTATGAATTTATTTAATGCTTCTCACTCTCCATTCCCATTGCATCCCTTATTAATTATACTATTTGTTTTTAAACAGGCATACAGACTGCTAATGGCCAAGTTGTCGGGGCTGCTAGCTGTCGTCACAGCCATGCTGGTTGTCATGGAGACAATACGTGTTCAAGGCCTCTCGCAGAAGAAGGAGCTTGAAAGGAAAGGGCAAGGTAGATGGAGGCAACGAGGCTATCAAAACGACAAGGCGGGGAAAGGTTCGAGTCCCCGAAACAAACAAAGAGACCATGGCACTAATGGCGGGCCTGGTCGATATCGGTGAGTTGTTCTAGAAGACTCTATGTATTAATGAAGCAGGTTGCCGACTCCGTAGCCAAGGCTGCATTGAGCTGATCTTCAAGACGCACTGTCTGTCTCTCTACAGAGTATACAGCTCCATCCTAATATAAGGTCCCTTCTCCACGCCTTTAGGCGTATAGGGCTAGACCTATATTTGTATAGACCAATCAGCACAAAATGGGTGATGAGGTCGGCATCTCGCCGGCCGCCTTTTTTCCCGGGACTGCACCCGGTACCCACTCAAGGCTGGGTCGACCTGGGAGTCAAGGTCATTTTTTTAAAAAAAAGTCCGGCTCCGCCGGAGAGCGAACCAATCACCTTCTGATCCTTGCGCGAGCGTCTAAGGGAAAGGCCACGGCGACTCCCTTCCGTCCTAATATGGGACGCACATTTTTTTTTGGGGGGGGGGGGGGGGGGGACTTGGGGGGGGGGGGGGGGGGGGGGCGGGGGGGGGGGGGGTTGCGGGGGGTATTATTTGCAAGACCTATTCTGGCTATCGTCGGGGTCCCTAATATGACCTGACGTTTGAACAGGATTTCTGGGTGATGCTTTTCTCATGATGGCACTTTGTGTCACCGGGTGTTGGTGACTCGCTGTGCGGTCCTGGTGGGGTAAAACGACACTGACTCATACAGTCTCTCCGTCCATACAGTCACTCTGTCCATACAGTCACTCCGTCCATACAGTCACTCCGTCCATACAATCACTCCGTCCATACAGTCACTCCGTCCATGCAGTCACTCCGTCCATGCAGTCACTCCGTCCATGCAGTCACTCCGTCCATACAGTCACTCCGTCCATACAGTCACTCCGTCCATAGTCACTCCGTCCATACAGTCACTCCGTCCATACAGTCACTCCGTCCATACAGTCACTCCGTCCATACAGTCACTCCGTCCATACAGTCACTCCGCCCATACAGTCACTCCGCCCATACAGTCACTCCGTCCATACAGTCACTCCGTCCATACAGTCACAGTCATACAGTCACTCCGTCCATACAGTCACTCCGCCCATACAGTCACTCCGTCCATACAGTCACTCCGTCCATACAGTCACTCCGTCCATACAGTCACTCCGTCCATACAGTCACTCCGTCCATACAGTCACTCCGTCCATACAGTCACTCCGTCCATACAGTCACTCCGCCCATACAGTCACTCCGCCCATACAGTCACTCCGTCCATACAGTCACTCCGTCCATACAGTCACTCCGTCCATACAGTCACTCCGTCCATACAGTCACTCCGTCCATACAGTCACGCCGTCCATACAGTCACTCCGTCCATACAGTCACTCCGTCCATACAGTCACTCCGTCCATACAGTCACTCCGTCCATACAGTCACTCCGTCCATACAGTCACTCCGTCCATACAGTCACTCCGTCCATACAGTCACTCCGTCCATACAGTCACTCCGTCCATACAGTCTGCCAGACTCACATTTGTTCATTTCTTTGTATTATTTTCCCACTTGTATCGCTGACTATACCTTATTCACCTGCCTGATCCCCCTAACCACCCCACCCCTCACCCGTTTTCCCCACCTCTTAGATTTTGTTAGCGCTTGTCTTTCCCTTCAAGCCTCTCCAAGACAAGTGCCTTATTGTTTCTGGTCCATAAAATACAACCGATTCTTTTTTTATCCGCGTCACAAAGACAACCATGTGCCTTTCTTTTTGCTAGTACATTTCCCCCTGAGCTGCAATTCCGGTGCGGAACTGTTAGTGTTGGCATACCTGACGGCTCTAGCACAGAAACTAAGCAGTTATGGGGTGACGTGTTTGTAGTAAAGGTGTAATCTCGACTAATGAAGGACTTCGTTTCTTGTCCAGGTCTCTGCGCCATAAAATATGGCTTTATGTCTCTATGTTGTTAAACATTTTTGTGCCGATTCCTTTTGTCCTGTCGCAGTCTTTTTCACCTTGACCATCATCTGTTACATTGCTGTTACAGGACTGGCAACCTTATATCACTGCTCTGCTAATTAAATTCATCATTTTGCAAGTCAAATGTTTCACTTGACATTTTTTTTTTAAATAATCGAATTCACGCATTCCCAGAACAACAACACTCTTTTCTTGAACTATCGTTTTCTTCTTCTTCTCTGTTTTCATCAGCTGTAAACTCTGGGGGAAAGTTCTGGTTGTTCATTCACTTTTGGACTGCGTTCCTATTCCAAAAACTAAATGTTGAGTGTGCATCCGTTTAACAGATTTGACTTATTTGTCTGCAGACTGCTGGTTCCTTGCCTCTCAGGCAGATGCACTCCGACTTAGAAAGCAGCTCCCAATTAGTCGATTCTCACAACATGCTTTTGGGTAGGCAGTGGGTCTATTCTTGTTTTCCATATAATAGGACCCCGGAACCCACACGGGGTTCTTGATCTATCAAATAACAATACAATGTAAGTAAAGCTGTAGCTAACGTGTTATATTGCCTTACACCACACCCGCTTAAATTGTTCCTGTGCTTTTCAGAAAGCCTCTCCATAATTTCTACGTCTCCTACCCAGACATGAGCCCGCCTGCATTTTTCAACTTGCGCTGGAACCGGGAACTTACCAGAGAGCGCCCCTGGTGGCAAGGGTAAGTAACTCTGAATGTGTCTTAACGGTTGACATGTATGCTGGATGTTCTCCATTGCGCTGGGGGGAAAAAATGTCATTCTGAAGTTCATTACTGGCGTAGGACTGCTGCATACACGTTCCTGGTGTAGACGCAAACAGTCTGCATACAAAAAAGCAAGATATGTGAAACGGATGCACACGCAAGACTCAGGTCCTGAAACAAAGCCAAAGTCCAGGAATGGACAAACAACCAGGTCTTTCCGCCAGGATTTACATCCGGTAAACGCAAACAACAACAACAACAACAACAACAACAACAACAACAACAGGTACCCTAACTAGAAATTCTGATGAGGTTATAGAGAGTATCTGGGAACTAAATTGTTGGTTTGCCGTTTCTTTTCTGTTAAGCGACCACATCACGCGAGATGTAGGGCAATCCCATAGTATAAGGGGGCAGGGGTAAATAGGGTTAAGAGTAGTAGTCGCTATTCATTTAACACTAACCCTAACCACCCTATTCTATAGGATTTCTCTAAATCTCGCATTATGTGGTCACTAAACAGAAAAAAAAAAAGGTGTGCCTTTTAGATTGAGATTTTAACATCTTAGGATGGTATGGGGAACCTTTAGGTTGCATCCCGGAGAGGATAAACCGATGGATTGACCAATCATCCCAGGTAAGAAGCATAAGTAGTCAGCTTGCGAACAAACACATTTATAACTGACGTAATGAACACTGTGATTAGAAAGTCTTTATTAGCATCATACGCACCAACACACACACACGCACATACAAACACACAAATACGCACACACAAGCATACCCACACACACACACACACACACACACGCTCACGCACGTGTGCGCGCGCGCACACACACACACACACACACACGAATTATACTAAGAACAAACAACTTCACGATAAGCAGTCTTCACAGTTCCCAAACCAGGACACAAGTGATTGCTGTTCCTTAGCAGAAAACATGGCGATAAAGCTAAGTTTGTGCTTTCGTCGGCCAAGGCATTGTTCTAATCGTCAAAATATATACGAAAGTTGTGTTTTTGAGCCGATTCGCTTAAAGATTTGAGAGGATCTAAATCATGTCTGCAGGTTTCATGTTGCCCTTTATAGCAGAACTGCTGTTCGCCGGGGAAGTTCGTCGCAATATGGACAAGTCTCAGTAGATACAATGACGACCACCTTAAATTTCTAAATATTTCAAACAGTGGAGTGAACTACGTCTATAGATCAATGACAGACTAATAAATGTAAAAATTGCCTAATGAATCCATAAACAACCAACAACTGCCACGACTGGTCCTGCAACGTCCTGTGACGGACATGCAACGGTCTCTATTACTTTTACTTTTATTATTACATTCAGCTCAAATGTTAACAAAATAATGTTATATCAATAACACAATGATAAACAATCGCAGGCCAAATGTCTGTGAAGGGGAGGCACAAGAGGTCTACAACTCGACACAGACCAGAGGTGACGTCATGAGACACTTCAGTACCAACTCCCAAGTCTGTGACGAGTCTGAGACGGTCTACAAGTGCAAGATCACGTGAGTCGTCACTGTTTTTCTCATTTACGTTATCCTTACTTTTTTTGTTGAGGTTTCAACCTCCACCGTAAAAGTAGTGGGCAACAAACCAGGTAAAGGCAAAATCCGGTTCCCTCAACCAGCTACGGAGTTCAGTGCATAGTGCGACACTGTGAGCTGTCAATTTTACGTGAAATTCGTATTGTCTGTGTTTCCAGGGAAGTACATTTAAACTGCATACCTAGAAAATGGCGAGCCGCTAGTTGCCACGTAGCTGGCAATAGGCTGTAGGCAGTAATGCGTGTGCACCTCCTGGTGTGTCGTGACCGCTGCTTGTGTTGCTATTATTAGCAAATCTAGTGACAGACTGGACGTGTCAGCAAGACTGCTGCTGTCTGACTTTGCACATGGGACTTTGATAAGCGATTGATTACACAACATTGTGTAAGTTTCATTGGCACGGGAACGGATGATCATGGGGTGACCCGTTAGCGATAAAGTTGCGATCCCGCCTTATAGCCTGCGATTGTTTTACTGCTTTCTTTTATTTTTTGTCCGCAGGCAAGAAAGTGTCAATGGACGCCGTGAGGTGACAGTTGTTTACGAGTGTTGCCATGGATACACGCGGGAGAAGAGAGACTTCGGCTGTCCCAAAAGTAAGATCAAACTTTACGACTTTAGAGACGTACTCGTGAAACATGTGTTCTGTTTAAACAAACAAAAAAACCGCATAGTTGCTGAAAAGAACAAACATACTCACAATTTTGACATTTTGCATCTTTGTAGTGCAGTAAGTGAAATTACTCAAATTTTACACAAGAATACCTTAGGGTTCCACCAATCAATTACACCCCCTTTTTTTTTTTTTTTTTCATCTCGGTCACGATAGTTTTCAAGCGTATGCCTTTTCCATTAGTATGTTGTGTGGCCTCCTCTTGCGTAAATCAGTGACTAGTATCTCCTGGGCATGGATGCGATCAGATGTCTGATGTGGTCTTGTGGGATGGCTGTCCACTCTTCGTGGAGTGCCTGGAACAGATCACGATCATTGGCTGGAGCAACGTTTTAGTGACAAACACGTCTTTGCAGTTCATCCCACAGGTGCTCAATCGGACTCATGTCTGCAGACAGTGATGGTCAGGGAAGGGTTTAATGTTACTGGCAGCCAGAAACTGCGTGATCAGCTGTTCAGAATGGGGTCTGGTGTTGTCCTCTTGAAAAAGATATCTGTTGGCATCCCAAAATGGAAGGACATGTGGTCGAAAAATTTCGTGGACGTATCGTTTCGCATTGAAGCTTTCTTCAATGTACACCAATTGACTCCTTCTGTTGTAACTGATCATTTTCCCATACCAATACACCTCCACCACCGTCCAGCAGAGCTTCATCAACACAGTTTTGGGTTAAACCTTCATTTCGTGTGCGGTAGACCCTACGCCGTCTATCATGACGCGGTAACAAAAAGAAAGATTCGTCACTTAACCAGGCAGGTCTCCACTGATTGTCACTTGCCCAGGGACGATGTTGGTTGGCCCAAAGAAGTCGATTTTGGCGATGGCGACGCGTAAGGACTAGTCCTCGGTGTGGTCGTCGGGCCCAACGTCTAACATCATGCAGTCTGTTCCGAACAGTTCGATCAGACACATGACGTCCAGGAAACAATGCCTGTGCAGTTGGGGAAGCTGTTGTAAACCTGTTTCTAAGGTGACGAAGCCAAAAAAAAAAAAAAAAGAATTTTTCCGCTCCTGTTGTCACTCTGGGTGGTCCCCTGCGATGTCGGTCTTCAACTAAACTAGTCGCTTGGAACCGGTGCTTAAGTCGACTGATGGTACTCTGGCAACCTGACTTTGACTTTCTCCTGTCTGTAATCGACCAATAGCAATATTCCTTAAATGTATGACTAGAGGCGCAATTCGTGACTGCTTGAAAATGAACTGATCGTTTTGGTGTAGCGTTATCCTTTTAAAGTGTTTCAACTGAGTAGACAGTGAATAGTGTTTACCACAAATTGTGTTGCTCTCTCTCTCGTACGTGCATCGTGAGCTATGCTCACAAATATGGTCTTAAACACAATTGACCACTGTGTTGTAACGATTACAAAAACACACGCAATTTACGTGTCCAATGGACACGGTAAACAACATTTGAGTCTGCTGTTCACATACCCGAGTACGATATTTTATTTACTAACTAATAAAAACGCGCCATCGGAAAACTATGCGTTTTTTTTTTTTTTTTACAGTATATAATCTCCGAATACTGCCGGCTGGCTGGTTTTCAGGTAGGAAGCTAGGTGGATGGAGTGATGGCAGAGTGGTTGATTGTACCAGCAGTGTATGTCATATGTATATTCGTGGAAACAGACTTGCATGACAAATAGATGGTGGAAAGGGAAAAGGCGAAGGAGATAGGGATAAGGTAAAGGGAAAATGGATACAGGTGAAGTGTATAGAGATACATGTGAAAGGGGTAGGGATACAGGTAACATTCACAGAGCATGCTGAGAAAGGTGGAAACATGTATGCTCCGTGTAGAATAGAAAGAATAGCTTCAAAGATCCCAAGTAGCTGTGTACTTTTGACATTGTCTCCAGTGTATGCAGGTGTGCAGGGAAACGATCAGACAGGCAGACTATCTGATTTTGCACCATTTGTTGGTAAACTGATGCGTGACAAACTAGAGGTTGTTAGGGCCCTTTTTTAGGGTAAGTGAGCAGTGTGGAAGCGCTGAAGAGAAGGGTGCAGCGAGGACACACTAGGAGATGTGGCTGAAGCTCAAAACCTAGTTGAAGTAGGAGACATATATCCATTTAGACTGTTACCGATGCCATCTAAATTTGAACTCTGCGCTTGCTGCTGAAGATGTGTACGAGGCACTTATGAGTATGTCCTGATGTCGGTTCTAAATACCTCCTAGCATTTCCATTCAGTTTTTTGACATCAGCCGTGCTAAACATTTAGTACCGTCTGAGTCACAAACAGGACGTTTAGTGTAAGGTCTCTGCCGGTCTCTCACATCTTGTCTTACAGTGTGACTGCGTTGAGATTATAATGAGTCCATTTTCTCATAGTTAATTATTGTTAAACTATCTGTCAGTGAGCAGGAGAGAGTCGTTGCAGTAGTGAGATCTCCTGCGAACTGAAAGGACCCCAAGGCTACAAGGACCAAACCCATTGTCGAAAATAGTTGCAGGCAATCCTGCAGTACATGCTCAGGAGTATGTCTCATAAGCGGCATATTTTATTAAGCCCATTTAGTGTAGGTTTGCGCCAAAAGCGAGGTGAATTGTTCTGAAGCCTAAAAACTTGTTGTTTATTATGTCCTGCTAGCCGGGTTTATCCTGTTAGTTTCCGGTGTGTACTCTCCCTTCTGTCTTCTTCACTGTCCTAATTTTTTTTTTAAACTGCTTTGGGACTTTTTTGGTTTTTCTCTAGCTCTGTGGTGGATGAGGTTTGGGACCATTATTGCTTATATACGGTAATTCTCAAGGACTGCTAATGAGATCTTTACTTTTTTTTTTTAATGTTCTGCCTTCGCAGAAGTCAGCATGTTGGCCCTGCTGGACAAGGCCGAGGAACTTGGTCTCACAGACTTCGTGAAGGCCATCAAGACTCTAGAACTGACCAGGGAGTTTGACAGTGGCAACTTTACCATGTTCGCACCACTAAACGGTGCCTTTACACTCGACAGTGGCATCTTGAACTCTGAAGCTACTGACGTCATCCTCAAGGTACACTAGGCTTAGTCGTAACCGCGTCTGTTCTAGCCAATTGTTGTAATAACATTGCCAAGTTTTTCGGAGTTCGTATGCTAGAGTGGCGAAGAAGCAACACTGTGCACACAAATAAAGTAGATCTGTAAAACGTATCGATTTATAGCCTAACTTCTATAACATTACCATAGTCCAGCAATCGACAAAAAGGCGGTTTAAAACTGGAATTTACATTCAGAGAACGTTAAGAAGAAGAAGATTAACCAAACTTTAAATTGGTTGAATACTGCTGCAGTCGAACAGGTATGTCTGACCCAGTCTTAAACACTCTGTCATCGAAGTCACACAGTTCTGACATATCCTACCGCACTCACACATTTTCTGGACTGACAGGCAAGTGTCACCATATTGAGCATTCTTTCGCCCATGAATTTCTATAGGTTTCACCCCACACTGATCGAAACACCTAAACATGAACTCTGTTCTCTGGTGCATGTCAAAAGTGGGGCGGCCATTTCAAAACTGTCATTATGACGACACAATATTCCATGTAACATGCTTAACACTCTTGACATCCATAGCAACAATGTTGACAAATATGAAAATGGCACGGTTATTGTTGTTTCATCTACACTTTTAAATTTCGCATGTAAAACCCCTCGTATCACAATATTCACTGACCTTAACTCCGCAGGATGACCCTAATGTGCTGACCCTGTCAGAACCAGCAGTCGACAAGGCTCTGAGGATTCTACGTAATGCCCTTCTCAGTCACGTGATTCCAGGAACCGTCAAGTCCAGTCAGATGGAGGATGAACAGGTTCTGGAGACTGGCAACTCAGAGGACACCACCATCAGGATTAACTACTTTTCCAGACCAGAGAAGGTGAGATCTCGGTGGTTTTCTTTCTTTTTTTTTTCTATGACATTTATAGATTAGATTTTGGAGTTTTCTTTCCATGATAATTATAGTTTTCAATACAGAGAATTTATTTTGTGTATTTCCAACTAACTCTTTGTTGCTGTCTGTGACTTCGACGCTGCGAATGTGCTCGGTAATGCCGGGGTGCTGGGTTTGCTTTCCAGCTGCGGACGATTTTATCTTGCGTTGGTTTCGACAGTGGTAGCAAGAGATGGACCGTTCAGCAGGCAATGGCAAACTACTGAACGTGAAAAATTCCCCTAAAAACAACAACAGCACCCCAAAAAAGGACGCTGGTGTCGGTTCTGAAAGGTTATGTAAAGGGTACGCAACTAACCTAACTCTTTAGTTCTTGCAGAGCCGCCGTAGTGTGGCTGAGTATCGGAAATAGTAGGTTCGAATCCGACAGGAGCCTAACATTTTTTTTTTTTTTACAAATCACCTTGAATCCAAAGTCGTGGGTAACAGATGTGGTCCTGTGGAGTAAAGGCGGCCGGTGTGATGTTGACCACATAACCCACCGAGTGCTGATTGGTCTTTAGAGTACAGATCTAGCTCGATATGCCAATTATGGTCTAAAGGAGTGTAAAAGGTTCTTTTATGTTACTTTTTTTTAAACTAATTTCTTAGCACTTTCCCTATAGGACATTTATAGTTTTCAATGCATATGGTATGGAGAAACTGACTTGTTATGTCCAACATATGGAGGCAAAATTGTTGCCCCAGAGAAACACCGGTGCAAGGCAAACTTTACCGGTCGCTGAGTGAATTTAAAAAACTGTGAAGTTCATACTAGAGTCACCACTGTAGATACAGATTATCTATTTCAAGGGAGTGAAAGAAGAAGAAGAAAAAGAAGAAAAAGAACTAGTTATGTGTACCTAACTCCTCATTATTTATCTATTACAGTAACCTATCTAGTCCCTGTTAGTTTTAACATCCTCAGCGAATTCATATATATATATACAATCACACGCATATATATTTATGTATTAATAATTATTAATTTAAAAAGTACATGTCCGCTGGCGTTGGATAGGGCACACACTGAGAAAACAGGAGAACAGCATAACTAGAATGTCTTTGCATTGGAACCCACAGGGGCATAGGAATAAAGGAAGGCCAAAAAACACATGGAGAAGAGAGCTGGAGAATGAGGTTAGAAAGATTGGGAGGACATGGGGAGAGCTCCATGCAATGGCGAAGGATAGAACGACTTGGCGTGAGTTGGTTGAGGGCCTATGCTCCATTGGGGGATAGAAAGGCAGAAGAAGGAGATGAAGTACATGTCCCTTGTGCCCTCTTTCAGGCGTATTGGAAATATAGAGCTCGACCTATAATTTTATAGACCAAACAGCACCAGGTGGGAGATGTGGTCAGAATCCCGCCCGCCGCCTTTATTTCCCAGGACTGAACCTGGTACTAACTCAAGGCTGGGTGGACCTCAGGGTGTCAAGGTCATTTTGAATTTTACAAAATAGTCCGGTTCCGTGGGAGGCGAACCCACGAGCTTTCGATACGCAGGCGGGCGTTTAACCAACAACGCCACCGCGACTCCATACATAATTATTTATGACTGGCAGCATTTTGCTGCTGAAGTTGTCTACGGGATGAGATTGTCAGTGCCGAGCCAACTCTTTTTATTGTCTCCTCCAACCAGAGGCGCTCAAACAGCGACCACAATGGGAAGTAGGGGGGGGGAGGGGGAGGGTTGGTCGGGGAGGTAGGTGGCTACCTCAGCCCCTTCAAAATTGTATATTGGCAGTGGCAGTATCAACAGACATAAGACCTGTTTAATTGCGCAGTAATAGTAATAAGAGCGGCGTCCGTGGCTTAGGCGTTGCAAGTCTAACTCGTAATTCCAACGTACCGCGATCGAAACCCACTGCTGGCTGCGTGGATTTGTATCATGGTATGGGGTCGACCCAGCCTAAAAAGGGTACTAAGATGGCTGTCTTGTGGAAGTAAACACGACCGGCGTAATCCTAACCACATTACCCACCTAGTGCTGATTGGTCTGTGAAAAATTTAGGATGCTTTTCTCATATGCCCGATACGTTAAGGGCTTTGAAAAAAATCTTTACTTTTGCTAATTGTAATAATAATCACAAGAATGAGATTTAATGAATGACAAATAAATATAATATTGGAAATAATATAAAATATACAAGTAGTTAACAAGAGTGCATCACTACATGGGTAGGGAAATTATTTCTACGTGCTGGAACCACTAACACTGTTCCATGGCAGCTGCGGTGCATGGGGAAGTGGCTGGACCTCGCAGCTGCTGTGCATGGGCAAGTGGCTGGACCCTCGCAGCTGCAGTGCATGGGGAAGTGGCTAGATCCTCGCAGGTGCAGTGCATGGGGAAGTGGCTAGGCCTCGCAGGTGCAGTGCATGGGGAAGTGGCTACGCCCTCGCCTGTGGATACGATGGTCAGATGAGTTCAGATCCTAACGGAGCTGGAAATTTTTAAAAAAATCACCTCCCCACCTAGGTCGACCCAGCCTTAAATGGGTACCTGGTAAAGTCCTATGAAGTAAAAGCGGCCGACGTGATGTTAACCACATCACCCACCCAATTCCGCTTGGTCTGCAAATATAGGTCCAGAACTTTATACCCAATGCCCCTAAAGGTATGAAGCAGGGTCCTTTGATAAGCTTTTATTCAGTTCACTGTTTTGTTTGTTGACTGGTTGGTTTGTCTGGTACAGTTTTTGCGTTCGATTGTTTTACTGTTTCTTTCATTGCTTACCCGGACCGGTTACACAGACGTCAGTTGTATTCTTTTTGTCCTCATCAGCTCATGACAGCCAACTGTGTCCCAGTGGTGTCACGTGATCACATCGCCACCAACGGAGTCATTCACTCGGTAGAGAAGATTCTCAAGCCGGTCACCGATTCTCTCTGGGACATCGTCAGGTCAAGGTCAGACCTTAGTACCCTCAGTTCCAGTAAGTGAACTCTTTCCTGTGTCCATATTCTGCTTTGTGCCGCTAAGCGTCTCTAGTTAACAGATGATAGGCTAGGGCACGCTCGGTTGCCGGGTAGGATGAGATGTATGGAGTCTCAAGGCAACAGTGACTCCTTCAGTCCATATGTTGTTGATCGTCTAACTCTTAGCGTTTTTATTTTTATGTTGCACGATCAGATTGCTGGCATCAATGGATTCATTCTCATTAAATGACCAAATGATTTCAGTGGTAAGGTAATTTCTAACTAATAATTAGGCTTCCCCTTTCCAATAACATAAATTAATATGAGAACACCTTAGACATAAATAAAGAACAATGGAAGTATCTTGGAAGAAATTAACTTGCAAAGAGAACTTATTGCCTACATCAAAAGAAGACAGTGCACATTTATTGGCACTTCATAATATAACCTGCCCCATTAGGGCCGTAAAGGTGTTATCGATGGAAGCACTTTCACATAAAACCTGCCATCTTTCTCTGGCTTCCGCTTGTTGAACATATCTATAATAACTGAACCCTGTCCATT